TGTGTGTGTAATTTAAACAATAAAAAGTATCAAAATATAATTAATGAATTTTTATTTTATTATTACATAATTAATAAAAATACTATTAATGATCTATTGATTTAAATAAAAAAATTAATTTTTTTTAGTCTTGAGTATCGAGATTAATTAGAATCTAGTATGATTATTAGATATCAAAATATTAATAAAAAAAAAATATTAAACTTTTTCACAACCTAAACTATGTATATATTTTGGACCGAAAAAGAAAATATTTCTATAAAAAAGATTAAAATTTTCACTTTTTATTATTTTTAGGGTAGAAATGTAGAATGGAAAATTAATAATACTGCAATATGGTTGGTCAGTGACTAACCTGCAGGTAATTGTATCACTATCCCCAGGACTTTCCTACCACCTTCAAACTCGAGCGAAAAATTTCTCATTTATTTGGCACGAAATACTCGTTTCTCTCTCTCTCTCTCTCTCTCTCTCTCTCTCTCCCCCAAATTAGGGTTTACAGGTCATCATCTTCCTCGTTAATCAATCAGACATGGGAGGCGGCAATGGCCAGAAAGCCAAGATGGCCCGGGAAAAGAACTTGGAGAAGCAAAAAGCTGCCAAAGGTAAGCATTCTCGTGCTTGCTGATCGGTTTGATGAAATATTTTGTAGAAATTTTGGGCGACGGTTCTATTTCCTCTCCGCCATGGATCTTTCATGTTTATAACCCGATCATCTTTTGCAGGTAGCCAATTGGATTCAAACAAGAAAGCTATGACGATTCAGGTATTATGTAGTGTTTATTCTTTTCATTGAGGAGACTCCCTTTTTTTCTTTTTCTTTTTTCTTATTTTAATTGTCTGATTTAGCTGTATTTTGCTTACATATGCTTGCTTAACTAATTGGGCTAATTCTAATTATTGTGATTGTTTAAGTTTGTTTCAAGTTTTATTGTGGTGTTTTTTTTTCCTGTGTTACAATGTGAATTTTTTTATGGTGATTTCAGCATTGGTTGTTAATTTTTGTGCGTTGTTATTTGAGATTGGCTTGTGTATTGATTTATTTCTAAAAGATTGATAATGAAAATTGGGGATGAAGAATGAAATTAACTGACAGATTTATGTTTAAGAAGTTTTGAAAAAATAAGTTGGGCAATGATTCAAAATTCTGACTTAATTATGAGGTGCTCTTGAAATTAATTTGTATAATTGGGATACCATGGCAGCGATTATAAACATGTGTTATCATAGCTCAATTGACACCTCAACATGAGATGCTCAACCTTTGAGCTGTTATCAGGACTCAAATGACACCTTAACGGTTAACATGAGATGCAGAGGTTTCTGAGCCTCTGAGGTTGTATTTGACTATTTGCCTATTGTATGCTTGTGATACAATAGAATTTCTTGTGCTATTGGTAGTGTTAGGGTGGGTAAAGTTGAATTCGTTTTGATATCATTTATTATATACCATTTGATGTCAAGTCTTTTGATCATTTGTTGATTGTTAATGTGACTTTTTGTACTTTTCATATGCCAGTGCAAGGTATGCATGCAGACATTCATGTGCACTACATCTGAGGTGAAGTGCAAGGAACATGCTGAGGCAAAACACCCAAAGTCTGATCTGTACACCTGCTTCCCTCATCTTAAGAAGTGATTGAGTTGGTGAAGAAGTGCCATGTAGAGTAATTAGGAGTATCAGCTTTCATCATATAAAGTTTCGACTACTATGAATATAAAGGATGATGTAGGGGGGATTATTGATCTCTGTCAATTTAAATGGTTAATTGTTATCTATCTCATGGTGTTACACAATCTTTTACAATCCTTTTCGTTCCACTTCCGCATTTGGATTTATGATAATAGATGCTCCATCTGGAAGTCATCTTAGTTGTGTGATGGAATACACATACTCGCTGGGTTCTTGTGTCAAGTCTCTCTATAAAATCCCCAAGGTTAGAGCAATCGAACACAATCAGGCGGGTACAATAGCTGACCTTTTTCTCTTATTATTTTGGTAGCAAAGTAGAGATAAAAGGAGTGTTTGGGTGTTTAGAGATTCAAATTTCAAACCTTTACTCTAAAATACTTTAAAATCAGGATTCGAAAGTTAACTAATGCTAGCTGTAGTTCTAGTTGGTTCATCACTGGCATTCTCAAAGTAAAACAAAAAGCTATTTGCATTATTTTGGGTACTGGATGCTGCTAAACGTCTCAACGCAAGTCATAGCAACGAAGTACAGAACGTCCTGTCATCGCAAACAAGTTGCTCATATGCTAATGATGATAGTAAGATATCCATACACAAAGCTTAATGCTACCCAACTACCGAAGTCAGGCACAATGTGTTTCAGAGTATGTAATTGCAAGCACAATATATATCCCAAGCCAAATGTACTGATTTACAAATGAAAGACATGCAGCATGCTCTACTGTGTCCGCATCCTGCTATTTTCTGCAGCCCTCACTTGCGAGAAATATGGATGAGCCTGCCATACAAAAAAGTAGCAGAACAGGGTGGTTATTAGAACTGAAATCCTTAGATCCTGTAAAAGTCGATAGTATGGACACACACATTAGGCATTATTTATTGATTTCAAAATCAAAACTACAACAAAAACAAAAGGTTGTAGGTAAATGCTATGACATAGAATTACCATGGCTTCTTTGGCAGTTAGCCTGTCCTGATGATCATACCGAAGAAGTTTATCAAGAAAATCAATGGCCTGCAACATCAAAGGCAAGAAATAAATACCACTTATGAAGCAACCAGTGGATTGTTTGGGCCTAAAATCAATTTTCTATATGTTTGCAAAGAACATAAGAAAAATGACCTCTGGAGAAACTAGATGCTGATTATCTGAATTAATGAACTTAGACCATGGTTTTCGGCTGTGCCTGCAAAAGAATAAAAAACAGAAAGGTATAAGCATGGGAAGTTTACTTATTCCAGAAAATAGACTTGTATAATGAAGGGACTATGTTTTGTTAAGATTGGAATTCTAGGTCTGTTGACTGCTGCCACAGATTAAGATAACTGCATATACTGTAGAAGGAATGTTCAAAGTACCTCCCAACAAGTGCATCAAGTTGAGGATCAAGCTCCAATTGATACTTATTCATATATGCATTTAATTCATCAGTTCCTAGTACCTGAAATCAAATAATCAGTCATGCAGATGATTCAAAATAGATAAGCATATTTCAAAGTGCTTTCAAAGCATCCTGTTATTGCCTATTCATAATGATACTTGTTTCTTCCCTAGTATAAGGCAATAATCCTACTTTGATCAGTTTGCCACACTAGCAGTACCTTGGCAATTTTCACAAGCTGATCATGGTTGTCGTGACCATAAAAGAAAGGTTCCTTGCGGAATATCTACGGAAAGAACAAGCTTAATGAGCAAATCAAACATTATAATATTTTAATTTTCTTTCAATAAAGGAAATACAAAATACAAAATAAAAATGTATATAAATCATCCTTAATGACAATATAATGTGTATTTTGAATCTAGAACATTATTGCTCACCATTCCAGCAAACATGCAACCAAGGCTCCACATATCCAAAGAATAATCATAGTCCTGTAAATCAACTAGAAGCTCAGGTCCCTTAAAGTACCTGAAAAGGGAGAAAGAAATTTAAACTTCACAAGAAAGAGATCCAGATTTAAAGGGAATCGTAAACTAGGAGCCCAATCTAAAGGTAAAGTAGTAGAAGAAATTCTAAAACTCCAACAAAAATCACTAACAATACCATTGAGGCTGTCAGGCTGGCCACTCCAGGCAATAAAAAATCCACATATTAAATGCAAATACTATTCACTAATTGTTGTTTCTACATTTCTGTTCATCTAAAAGATAAATTGTGCTTACACAGTATTGTTTACAGAACCAAATTTCTAGCATTATATCTGTCCAAGAACACTCACAAAGCCTCTCATATAGAACAAAGAGGCATTTTTTCACATATCTTCAAAACAGTACTTATGTAGGTTTTCTTAAGTATCTGCTATTTAATTGTTTATGCATAAACAGATCAAATTGTCCCAGGTTATCTCTTTGGGCTGCTTGCTGACTTTATTCATGCATATATTGCAGTAGACAGTTATGTGCATCTTTCAACTTTTGCTAAGCGAGCCTTCAACATTTGAAATTCAGTCTCTTTATTCTGTAAGAAACCCCATTACAATTTGAACAAAATCTTTTTGTTGTTTATTTAATAGATCATTATTTTGTCATTTAAGGTATTTTCGTGTGTTTGTTACAGAGTTAGAAAGGCAGGATGTTGGTTACATGATTCATGATTACCTAGAAGCTACACGAACATTATATTCTTTTGCAGGATGGTAGAACTCAGCAAGGCCCCAGTCTATCAAGCGAAGCTTTCGCAGCTCATGGTCTATCATAACATTGTGAGGTTTGACATCTCTGTGCATTATCCCTTGTGAATGGCAGTAATCTAATGCCTGCACATGCCAAAATATATATATATATATATATATGTATATATATATCATTTTTTGCTTTGAAGTGGAAAAATGGAATCTATTACTTTTCCCAAAAGCCTAAATCCAATGATCATCATCATCACTTGGTAGGGGAAAAAGGAAACATTAGATGAAACACTATAAATTACCTTCAGGAGCTCATATATGTAGTAGCGTATGTCATAGTCAGTCAATGTGGGGTACAAAATCTTGAAGTCTGTACTGTTCACATACTCAAATATCAAGCTAGGTGTTTTTGAGTGCTGATCTCTAACAATATCAAGAAGCTTGACGATATTTGGACCACCACAAAGATTCTGAAGTATCTTTATCTCTCTCTTTATCTGCAGAAAGATCATTAGAATCATGATGGCTGCCCTTGGATGTAATCTCAATACATCTATAGGAAAGTAGCTAACAGAAATGCTATAGAACTTCACTTTAATAAATAGAACCCCATAAGTGATACTGATAATCCAATAACACATCCTTTCTCTCATTCGACAAAATGAAGAGAAAATTTAAAACTAATATAAAACTTGTAACTAACAACATGCTACCTTTCTGTATAGTAATTAAATAATCACCTTCTTTTTCTTGACAGGCTTGAGGATCTTGATTATGCACCGTTCATTGGTATTGACATTTATTCCTTCAAAAACTTCACTGTATTTTCCCCGTCCAACTTTTCGAACGACTTCATAATCATCTTGGTCACTGAGAAGAACGTCAACATAGTTAAAAAAAAAGATAAATAAAATAATTAAAATAATTAGTGAAAGGAGACTAATTATTGATGAAGGTACTAAAGAAGCAAGAGAAGCCAAATGGAAAACGGGTAGACCCAAATGCTCTGAGGTCCAGGTAGATACAAAATTCGATCCATGTATAATATTTTCAGTAAACAAGAGCTTATTGATTAGTTAGATTTACTTTCCATCCACCAATCATGCATTTTTCTATCAATGAACTAACAAAAGTACTTCCAACTAGCAGGGATAATATATGACCCTACAACTGCAATAACAAATGCGGTGCTCATGATTAAAGTTATTCAAACACAATATCAATGGAATATTAAATCCAACTCTCGGTTTTGTAAAGCTAAAACATCTGTTAGTTCTTCCAACAACATCCAACCATCCAAGTCCCCTACTCCAAGTATTCTTTTCTTTCCTAAATCAAGTGTGAACGTCGGGAACAGAAAACAAAAAAAAAAAAAAAAAACTTTTGACTCGTAATCACTGAGATCAGTAGATCTCATTCAGTTAAACTTTCAGGAAGCAGAAAACTTGAACCAAACCCAAGATTCGAATTCGTTAGATGAAAAAGAAAAATACTGGATTAAAGTTGAGATTAGGGATTATGAAGGAAACGATACCCCCATTGAACAGTGAGCGACTCGTAATCCCAGTACTCCTTGGGGCGAACAAGGTTGACATCGGCATAAACCCGAGACTTAGACATGACTCCTCGCCGATTAAAACCCGAGATCTCGACGGTATTGGGACTATCGATGTCGATCTCAACACAGATGTTGGCCCGGGAAGGTAGGCACAGGGGAGGAAGATGCGCGACGGGAGCCCAGGAGGCAAGGATGGCGCAGACTAGGAGGAGGCGGAGGAGGTTGTTGGTGTGGGCATATTTCATTCATTCATGTGTGCGGAATTTGGTTTGGCCGGTGACATGATCGAAAGGGGATGCAGCGCAAGGAAGAAAGCAAAGCAAAGGGAAGCTGCGTGTGCGCTACCGATGGGTTTTTGGGCAAAGCCTGTGTGCTGGCTCACGTGATGGGGCCGACGGAATTTCTTACATTTTGCCGTAGGAGAGATACTTCGGGTGTCCAACCGTATGCTTGTTTACGTGGCACGATACCGTTGGAAAAAATTAATTATTAAATAACATATTAACAATATTTGTTTTATTTTAACTACAAAACTCTTATTTTTTACCTCAATTCATTATTTATCATACAACTCAAATTTATAATCTTTTATTTCCAACCAAAAAAATAATTATTGATTTAAATCATTAACAACATATTAATAATATTAGCATAAAGTTGTAATACATAATTATCCTTTAATTATTGTCCTTTCTCGCTCCTCCATCGGTAATTTTTTCCTCAAAAATCAGATTCTCATGCACTAGTAGTAGTATAAAAAATCTGTTGGCCGGCAATAAATAATTTTTAATTCAGCGTTAAATAGTTTTAGATTAAAATTTTGCTTATTTTCGCTACATCATCTAATTATTATTTTATTTTTTTTACATGAGATCAAACTCTTGTTAATTACATCTAGTGACCATGACTTGCAATGCGATAAATACTCTTATCTCTTAAATCTCTTCACCTATACATAAAACTTCTTTTAAGTTTCAAGTTTATTCGATGAGATTTACATTGAATGTTTAATCTATACATTAATATTTTACCTTAGTTGGAACAAGTCATCCAGTGCACTGATATCATCTTGTAAATGCCTGCAAGTTTGGTAAAGTTACTTAACCGTCCAAACTTTATAAAAAATAGGAGTATATATAAATAAAATATAAATTACATAAATTAGGTT